GAAGGATTAGGGCTGGAGAATGACAGATTTAATAAATGTGTTGAGAGTATTGAGCCTAGGTGATTTTGATAACAGTGATATTAATGGAAATATGAAAGATATGAAGGAAAACTGATTTTTTTAGTTCATTTTTATATGTTTATTGTGACATAGTGTTGGACTGTGTGGAAATAGCCAGCCAGCACTTGGAGATAGAATATTTAGAGGGGCTAGGAGTAAAGAGAAAGAAATATTGAAGTCTTCCATGTAGAATGGTTTACTTCCTGATGGAAATAGAGAAGGTAGTGTGTGTAGAGGGCTTAAAACTAAACTTAGCAAGATGGAGAAGAAACCAGTCTGTGGTGAGTGTGTAAGATACCATGTCAGGGAGGCCAAAGAAGAATAGATGGATTTGGTTAATAGTATTGCTGGCCTCAGAGAAATCAGAATATGGTAAACAAAATGTTGTTAAATTTGAAGATGAGCTATTTATTTTGGTAGTGTATTTTTATTTTTATTTTTTTTGATGAAAATTAGAGCTGATTCTTCAAACTGACTTTTATATATCTATTGGTTTTATTAAGCCAGTTACAGAAGTTTCCTTTTTATATAAATTTATCTTGGCACCACTTATTTTAAGTAGCTGTCTTTTAATTCATATGTAATAATGTTACCATAAAAAATTTTCAGTATTAAAGGAAACATTCATTCAGTAATGATCTTATAAAGTAATTTCATATCACCTGAACTATTAGAGTGTGGATAGCTTCCCTTAAGATATATTCTTTGTTTGCACTATAACTATTGTAACGGTTAGAACATAGCCAAAGCATGTTTTAATCATACGTATGACAATTTCTGTCCTCAGTATCTAGTGTACATTCTTAATTCAGTTTATTTCCCAACAGGTTGATAAACTTTAAAGGTTTTTCATATATAAGGAAGAATTTTCTGAGTTTATCACATAAAATTATTAGGGTATTTAAAATGATTCATAATTTTAAATTGTGAAGGATTTTGTAGGTAATACTCTCCCTTCTAATTAATGGTATATTTTTTAAAAAGGAATGAGATAAAAAAAATTGATGCCGGTCATAGACTTGTAATAATTTCATAAGAAGATGATTCTGCTTAAGATAACCCATATTTTTATTTTTATTGTAGAGGGCAGTGTCACTGGCCCTCATATGTGGGATCCGAACCCGGGGCCCTCTGGCGTCCCAAGCCAGCTCTTAACCACTGCACCACTGGGCCGGCCCAAGATAGCCCATATTTTTAACTTCCTGTTTTGTGTTGTGTTCCTCTTCCTAGATACTTCTTACATACTTGTCATATACAGCTGTATGTATGTTTCTTATGATTAATATAATTTAGACCCTATAATTTTAGTCTGCATTCTAGTACTTTTTAGCATACTTCATTTCCAGATTTGTCAATTTCTTCTAAAAAGACTTCCTGAATATCAGATGTCAGGATTTTAGAACTAAGTAGGACTCTAGTGATCATTTAAATTATCTCTATCATTTCACAGAGAGATTAGGTGATTTATCCATTATTAGAAGAGAGGTCTGTTGGGCCTTAGGTCCCATTCCTCTGTCTCCTTTAATTATTCACCTTTCCACTTCACAAAAATTATATTAGAAGTTGTGGATAGTATTCTGCCTTGAAAAAGGTACTAATATTCTTCATTAAATATGACAATTCTATCATCAGAGGTCTTAACTCATATGTTTTTGTATTGATTTCATTATTTTCAAATTCACTATAACATCTAAACTAAAAAGATTGTACTAATTTCTTGGAAATATTTCCAGAATTCTTGTCAGTATGAGAATTTTCCTACAAAGGAATCATGATTTTAACTTGTCTGATCCTTTCATTTTTTGCTTAAAAAAAGAAACGAAACAACTTCTTTATCATAATTGCTAAATGTATTTTCTATTTTCTTTTAACTTGTGTTCTTTAAACTTTTGGACTAATTACAAATACTATCTCCTGGATTTTTTCAGCCTTCCTTATTGTTATTTAATGCATATGAGTTTTATTATGTGGTGTTAACATATCTCTCAAAGTTTAGCAGGCATACTTGATTTTATTAGCGAAATAGTTAATCTAAAATTCTCTTATTTTGAAAATTTATTTCTTTTTTTAAAAAATTACAGCTGCAATTTTACTATAGCTGCAATTTACTACTAGCATAAGTTCTATATAATATTAAATTTTATGTTTACTTATTCTGTTATTAAGCAGTACATTTAATTTTATGATAGGTGCATATAATTTTAATATGGATAGAAAAGATTTTTTTTTTCTTTTGGTGTTTGAACATAAGCCTCTCATTGCTTTCTAACACATGCATATTCAAAGAGTGCCTTCATTTTTTAATTTTTTCTTTGAGAATTCTTATAAATACTTTGTGGTTTAAGAAAATGAAATTTTTTTCAGAGAGAAATATTTAACCTTTTTTGGTTGGCTTAGATAACAGCATTAAATCATAAAACCAGCTAGGGGATACTTAGTTATATAGGGAAAGTAAATTGCTTTCCTACTTTGTATCAAATGAAAAGCCTTGTCTGCATTTTGTAGTTATGGTTGTTGGTTATCTGAGGAGCCATTACTAAAGATGAATTTGGCATTTTAATTAATAAGGCTATAGGCACCTTTTCTAATTGGTTCATGAGTAAAGCAGATTTTTTTAATGCCTTTAATGAATAAGGTTAATCCAAATACATTTTAATGTGTTTTTCCTATTTTCTGGTGGTATTGAAATATACTTTCATTTTCTTCATATAAAAGTCACTTTGGAGTTATGCAGCTGCCTTACACCAAGAAAATTGGTACCATCTTGCCATATTCACAATGGCATGTGTTATGTAGGAAACATAGTGATTTTCTATAGGATTGTTATTTTTTCTTTGATTTTTTTAGAGCTTTATAAGTTCCATGTCTCCCAAGTATTCTTTTAGGGATCTACTAACTGTAAATGTGGCAACACTGGTAGAGAGCATGGGTATAAGGGTTGATTAATCCTCATACTCCACCTCACACTCCCCCCCAAAAAAAACCACAACCAAAAACTTTAGAGCAAGATTGCTTAAACATCACATGAAGGATACCATGCTTATTAACATCCTTTGGCATTGCTGAGTCAGACTTTTTTCAAATCTCTTCCTCAGTTCTACAGAACCCTTAGAATTATAAACTTAGACTGATAATAATATTACAGTTCTGGAAGCATTTATTATGTTTGAGTATATTTATAAAAGAAATTTTTTGTTTTCTTTTTCTTGAAAGTTAGTGAACTGAGGTAATTACGATATTAACAGCACAGGGCCAAGGCAATTTCAGTTCTTTATGTTGAATTTTTAGATGTAAAGTTTTATTTAGAGGTAAACTTTGACGTGGTTACTTATTTGTAACAGTTTATGTTAATTTTTATTTGCCTAGAAAAAAGAAATATAGAGACCTGAATTCTGAAATTTCTACTTGTAGTCTCATTTTTGGCAACTACTAAACTGTATAGCTACCAATCAGTGTCCTTATGTTAATCTGGAGAAATAGTCTACTCTTTTTCATTTTTGAATAGTTTTATTGTATACTTGGAAAATCAGTTCCCTTTCTCCACTGTCTTATCCTCCAACTTCACAACCAAGAAATGATCCTGTTTCACTTAGGATTCATTTTCTTGCTTTTATGATAAATCTTCAAGTATATTAGACATTAGATAAGTTCACCAATTTTCTTTCATATGATTACATTTTAAGGAAAGTGATTCTTTTCTATTATTATCACTATCCAAAACAGCATTAATAAACACTAGTGGACTTATTTCGTCATTGCAACAAGCTAAAGGGAAAAATAGTTTTCTTTTTGAGGTGATCCCATTTGTGGTAACTTATTTAGGGAGAGAGAGCCTTTCTTTTTAAAGCGATGTTTTCTCTTTTGACCAAAACTTTCCTTGAGAAATAAACTATTCTAAATTCTAATTTCACGTCTGTACTTGGTGAACTGTACATTCATGCCTATGCCATATTTTTAACATTAAAGAAAGAAAATTACTGCTTTTCTTTTTTTCAAGCATTTCCTAGGATATTGGGATACTAATAAAATTCAGTTTGTTCTAGATCAGTGGATACCGGAACAGAGAGGAGGTATTTCTTACCTGATAATGTGTGTGTTCCGATTCTGCTAATCCAGAAATCCAATCACATTTGTTGAAAATCATCTTTAGTTGTTATTTGTTAGGGAGTTAACTCCCTATTTTAATTTTTTTCTGAAATTCAGTCCCTAGATGTGCTTTAGATAGGGTAGAATTTTTACCTCTTTCAGAACACTGCTAAAGAAGTTTTCAACTGGAACATAGTCTGAAGAAGCACTGAGAGCAAAAAAATTCAGAGTGGTGATTGGCCACCTCTGTTTGATTGACAGGTTGCAGGGAGAAACCCATTCGTTCTGGATTAATGGAACTGGAAAACAGAAAACAATTATCAGGTAAAAAAAACCTTTTCTTTAACCTTTGAAATTCACCATTTAAAAGATGAGTCAGACCATCAAGGGAACCTAGTACCAAAAGGAAAAAAATTAGTGTCTTGTGAGCAGTGTGATCTCTGGCTACTACTTCTAAGAGTTACAAAAGAAAAAATGCTACAGTTACTACACATTGTCAGCCTTTGCTGAAAGGGCTTGATTAAATGCAGATAAGATGGAATGTAAGGCGCAATTACACTTTAAGTCTGGATTGAAGACATGAAGCAGAATTCTATGGGTGGGGGAGATTGGTGGTGTTTTATTTCCTGAATTGTGTCTGGTCGATGGATAAATAGAACAATTTGTTTTTCAGGGCTATTAATCTGGCACTTCTCATGAATATTCACAAATTTTGTTACTGTACTGTGTTTGTTATACTTCTTCACCTCATTAGGGTGTATGCTTATATATCATCATAAAATTCTAGTAACAGTAGTGACCAGTTATTTATATTTTAATGCCAGTCTTTTGATTACTGGTTAAATACATTTCAGATTGAAGGCCAAGGACATGGTGCAGTATTTGACTGCAAATGCTCTCCTGATGGTCAGCATTTTGCATGCACTGACTCTCATGGACATCTTTTAATTTTTGGCTTTGGTTCCAGTAGCAAATATGACAAGGTAAAGTACAATGATTATATGTCATTATGTTTTAATTTATGGATGTTTAGGGGGTTGTACTTTGAGGGGGGATGGGTGAGAATCATTTATGCTTTTAGCATATTTAAAGAATATTTCAGCATATAGAAGAAGCATATTTTAAATAGTCTGGAGACCTATGTTTAGAGAGGAGGGTGAAGACAGCTGTTAAATCTCTTTTCTGTAATAGACATTAGATAATAATAAATAAATATAATCTTTATATTTCAGAAGGAATAACTTTTTACTTAATTAACCTGCTAGAAGGTGATCTAAATTGCAGTTTTAGGTTGGAGTGTATAAGCTGTGGGGATGTTTTCCATAAAGGGACTCTTTGAAATTATGTAAAATATTTTATTTATATGGTTAATATGCATTTATCTGGGATATAAATCTATGGCTTTCATGTGGTTCTCAAAAATGTATAGCGTATTGATAATAGCTAATGTTTTATGTATTAAAGACCCTATCTAAGAATAGTGACTAAATGACTTAAATTGCTTATTTTTAGTAGAGTGGTATGTAAAACGTTATCATAAAAATTGAATAGTTCATAATTTAGTTTAAGAAATTCCAATTTAACCAATAAAATTTTGAAGTTACAGATGTGTCAGGCAAGAGTTCATATTAATAATTTTATATTTCAAAAGCTTAGAAACTGCTTATTAACTCTTGGAAAATCATGTCAATTTTTTATATTGTGTAAACCACACTGTAGGCTTAAGAATTTTCTTAAATCATATAAGTGATTTCATTAAAGAGCTTAATTCAAGGAATAAATTCATTGAATGATTTTCCTTTATGAAATGCTAAAACAAATAATATTACTGTATTTAGTAATCTAAAAAGTAAGATAAAGCATGGTAGCTCTGAAAATAATAATAGTATACTGCTGAATGATTTATGCCTAGATTTCATTTTACCATGTCATTTGAAATTATATAACCTGTTTTAATGTTAGTTTTTATGTATACCATCTCTTCTTCCAGAGAAAATTCAAAGCACCTACTTTTCTGATCATAAAATTTAGTGTAGAAAATATAAAGATTTATTTACAGTTAATTCAAGAGAAGACTGTTCTTTTATATTGTTGCTTTATATCATGATTTACGTTGAAGTATTTGCCTTCCATTAGAAATTTATAATGATAAATATTTATATTTCTAATCTTTTATGGGCCTTTCTTTTGCAGATAGCAGATCAGATGTTCTTTCATAGTGATTATCGGCCCCTTATTCGTGATGCCAACAATTTTGTATTAGATGAACAGACTCAGCAAGCACCTCATCTCATGCCTCCGCCTTTTTTGGTTGATGTTGATGGTAACCCTCATCCATCAAGATATCAGAGATTAGTTCCTGGACGTGAAAACTGCAGGGAGGAGCAACTCATCCCTCAAATGGGAGTAACTTCCTCAGGTAAATGCTCATTTTCATAGATAGTCAAATTATTTTTTTCATACTGAAGTTTTATAAGATTGCTAATTGGGTAACACTTTGGTTTTAATTGTTTTGATCAAATTAGAAGTAAAATGATTTTTTAAAATACTTCTCTAAATTTCTTTGAATAATGCTTAAGTATTGTAAGATATTTAAGGAACATTGGAAATTTAAAGTAGTAATTTGATCTATATCCATTTATAAACTCTGGGGACTAATAGAATAAGTCCCTGTATTTGGTATGAGATGAGTCTGTTTGTTTATTCATTCAGCATCATATACTGAGAATATCCTCTGTCCCTGACACCTGCTAAGCTATGGTATAAAGTAGTGAATTAAACAGAGATTATCTTTGCTCTCATAGAGTAGTTAGATTAATAAACACAAGTTATAGACAGATACATGTTTAAAAATTGTGATAAATGTTAAGGGGAATAATAGTGTAATGTGAGAGAGAGACTGATACTAGATAACCCATTTACATTGAAGGTTTTTTAAGAAGTGATCCCCTTTTAAAAGTTTATAAGTAAGATAGGGGTGAAAAGTGTTCAGCTATTTTAGTGAGGTAATAGAGGGTGAATGTTAAATTAGTTATGGAATTGAATGGGAGTTTAAATGGAGACAAGGTCTACAGATACCTTCTTCCCCCCCTTTTGACAAGAAATGTGGCACTAATTTATTAAGTGAAAATAATGCACTATATGAAGTAGGTTAAACCAGTTTTGCAATTATGAATTTTTCTATTATATTTTAGACTAGAAGAGCGTTTATGAAAATATTTTAAGCTCTGAACTCTAGCATAATAGACAAGTAAATTTAAAGAACACATGGGATATATAAAATGAGCGACTTTTAAATAACGAATTTAGATTCTGTAAGCAGTACAGAAAAACCAATGTCATTGCATTATAGAGAACCCACTTCTTATTTTTCTTAAAGGATTGGGCACTAACTTGCCTTGAAGATGGACATATTGGCTAGGAAGGGCTGCTGTTGGAACTAGACATGCCCACTCAGGATGCAGAGTGAGGAGAAGCATTAAAGGAATAGTAGTCCCTGCTGCTACTTGTAGAGAGTAGTACAGTCCAGCAGACCTGAATATCTGGAGTGTGTGAAACTAAAATGTCTCAATACATGGACACAGCATGAACTCAAAGACTCTAAGAACAGGTAGTATTCAAGAAGTCTAGGCAGGAATTCAGATTAGAGAAGCCTCAATTATTAAAGAAGTCTTGGCCATAGGACTGAAATTAAGATAAATGGCTCCAGCCTCTTGGAGGGGCATGAATCAGATCTTCCCAGGTCTCAAAATTCGATACCTAGGCTGGAATTTTAGGCAAGGGAAATAAGGAAAGGACTCATTTATTAAAACATCAGTGCCACTTAATTATTGTGATTATTACTTTTTTCCTCCACTTAAAAGTTTATAAAGGGCTTTCATAAATAATATCTCATGTAGTTGTGTTATCTATGGTATCCCAATCCTAAAAGTTTAGAAAATGAAAATTTAGCAACAATATCTTGTTCAAGTTAAAGCATATGGAATCACAGGGACTCAAACGTAGCTCTGACTTGTAGTCCATTGTTTCTTCTTCCATACTAAGCTGTCCTTAGAGTAAAAAGTGAACTTATCTTGAAAATGAAATAGACACTGGTTTTTAGTACAGAGCCACAAGCGAACCTATAACAATAATTATGGCTTCAAAGTGAGTCATAGAATTTTTAAGCGTTCTAGGTCACAGAATTCAGGGTAAACATTTCTTTCATTAAGACTTACTGAGCACTAAAATAGAACAAAATAAATACTTTTTGAAAAACTTCAGCATCATTTCTAACTATATTTCTATTTGCAAACTTAGATCTATAATAAAATTTATTTTGGGAAATCCTGTAGAGTTAGGTTAAAATAGATGATGGCTATTATAATAAATTTATTTGAATGCAGTTTTGTTATATTTACACTGAAAAATACACTTTAAATGTGTTTCATCAGTTGTAAACTGGCGCTCTATCAAATTACTCATCAGTGGGTGGCCATTGGCTACTGTATGTAGCCAGCAGCCAGCGTGAACGGCCGTCCGAATTACTCATCAATCTTCAAACATGAGGTGTTTTGCTAGCAACATACCAGGAAAGAAGCATACACAGGAATTTCAACTTTTACCTCTGCCTACTTTTCCGACGTTCTAGCTTTGTGATCTTGGACGTTATTTTATCCCATTGAATTTTAGCTTTCTCTTATAAAATGAAAATAACATTATGTGCTTAGTACATGTAATTTCCCCTTTCCTTATACCTTCCTTACTACTTCTTCTTTATTGCAAATTATCTTCATTTCCAACACACTCTAAAAGTCTGATCTCATCAGATCTTCTCTTGTATACCATCACACCTCATATAATTGCCCCCTTTTCTACTCATGGCAATGCTTTCATATATCTCATAACACTTAAACATTTTTTATTCATTCAGTAGGATTGAACATATTTATATGCCTAGCACTGTGCTAGATTTAGAAATAGAATATTAAGATAAATAAGATAATCCATGCTTTTGAGGAACTAGTGGACTTTCTGTATTAGGCTGAGTGCTAAGACATGTATATGTTGTTTGAGGAAATGAAAGAGGATAACAGTTAATTTTTTTTCAGACATAGTCTGGAAAGATTTCACAGAGGAAATATTATGGAGATGCCATTTTAGTAGGTGCTTGAAAGATAAGTTAGTGTTTATCACGTGTATACTTGAAGCATTGTGGTCAAAAGCTCCAAAGCATAAAGGTGTTTATCCTATTAGGAGAGTAAAAGAGTCAAGTAGTCCCATATGACTGGTATAGGTGATAGTTGATGCTGGAAAAGTAGGGTGGGTTAAAACACACCAAGTTCCTCCCTACCTTAGTCTTTGTACTGACTCTTAGCCTTCTATTTGGAGTGTTCTTATTCTAGCTCTTCAGATGGATTACTAATTCTTCTTTTTCTTCAAGTGTTAGCTCAAATGCTGCCTTCTCAAAGAGGGCTTCTTAGACTTTTGTGACTCACCATAGATAGTTCCCATCTCCCTTCCCTATTTTCCTCTTTCTCATCATCATCTTTATTTTTAAACAGCATTTTTCACAATCTGCTTTTATGTATAGGTTTATCGTTCATTTTCTCCAATAGATTGTTATATTATTCAGGGACCTGGATGTCTCTTACTCACCACTGGATCCTCAGTTCCTTAACACAGTTCCTAACACGTAGTAGACACTCAATAATTTATTGAATAAATGAAGCAGTAAACATTTTTTGAGAAAGCGGGTAGTCAGATTTGCCTTTTTAAAAGAAACTATGATCTAAGATGAATCCTACTTTTACAACCTATTAGATATATGACTTTTAAGTAGTTATTTTGGTTTTCTCATCTGTAAATTGAAGTTAATAATACATACCTAACTGAGATATTATAAGGATTATGTGAGTGCCTGAATCATGACAAATGGTCAAAGTTAGGTATCATCATCATTGTTATTTTTAATAGATTGAGGGCACGTTTCCATTTACTCTGCTGTCATTTTACAGTTGATCACTTTAGGTCTTTTACTCAAGCAAAATTTATGTTTAATTCTGGACTCAAAATGAGGTTAATAAATAAAATGGTTTGAATAGTTGACTAAAGTATCCTTAGCATTTTGTGTGGTATTACACAGGACTGAACCAAGTTTTAAGTCAGCAAGCAAATCAGGAGATCAGCCCATTGGACAGCATGATTCAAAGACTACAACAGGAGCAAGACCTGAGACGCTCTGGTGAAGCAGGTATCAGTAATACCAGCCGTTTAAGTAGAGGTAAGATGTAATTCTTCTATGTGAAACATTAAAAAAAATTGAAACAGTTTAAATCTCCAACAATAGAGAAGAGATTAAACAAATTATGGGACATCCATAAAATGAAATATTAGGCTGCCAAAATGATTATGTTTTTGAGGAATATTTAACGAGCTAAGAAAATGTTCATAATATAAAGTTTCAAACTGTAGATAATGCGTTTTTAATATGTATATTTTCCCAATTTTCCTATACTAAACATAAAATTTAGAAAAACTTTAAAAATAAAATTATTCAGTAATTTAAGAAATAGATTCTAAGCTACATTCTTTAACATCTCAACAACCTTATTGTATATTATTAAACTTTAAGAGAAAAAACAAATTTATGAACGATAAATGCCCTTGGGTTTGTCTGTTTTTGCTTCTTACATAGTTTCACCAATATACATGGTGAGTATTTTTTTAAAGTAATTATTTTACGTCTTTGAGGCTTAACAGTCAATAGTTATGATTCATTAACATGTCTAATCAACTGAATAATAAGCATATTTTGTTTTCATTAAACTTTTGCCTGTTGTTTAGTTCCTGATTTGGTAATTCATTATTTGCCACAATATAAAGTTTCATGTGGAAAATAATATAATTTTTTTTCTGTTATAAGCTAATGAAGAAGTGTCTTTAAATAGAACTTACTATATTGATTTTTTACTTAGGCTCTGTAAGCTCTACCTCAGAGGTTCATTCACCACCAAATGTAGGACTAAGGCGTAGTGGACAAATTGAAGGAGTACGGCAAATGCACAGCAACGCACCAAGAAGTGAAATAGCCACAGAGCGGGATCTTGTAGCTTGGAGCCGAAGGGTGGTAGTACCTGAGCTTTCAGCTGGTGTAGCCAGGTAAAGGGAGTTGTGAATTTTTAGGTACCACAATTGTTTGTGTTCGTTTTTAATTATAGTCCTCAAAGTACTTTTTCAGCTCTGTAATTTATTTTAAATTTGTCTGAAGAGCTAGTATTTAAAACTATTCAAGACTGGAGAAAAACTAAATTTCAGTATATAACTTTATATCCATTTCCTTTGATTCTTTAGTAATGAATATATATGAATGTGGTTGATATGAACCCAGCTAATACTGACTACATACTATAATACCATACTATAATAAAAAACAAATGAAGATCAAAATGTGAATTTGATTTTAGAATTTTCTAATTTTAAACTCAAAAGATAATATTAATCATACACACAGACAGTCCCTGACTTACAATTTTTTGACTTTACAATGGTGTGAAAGTGATTTGCATTCAGTATAGAAACCATGCTTCACATTTTGAATTTTGATCTTTTCTTGAGCTAGTGATATGTGGTACAATACTTGTGTATGATGCTGGCCAGGGAGCGGCAGCAAACCGCAGGTCCTCATCAGGTATGCAATAATAGGGGTAAAAAATCAGTAATCTACAGGGTACTGTTTTGCGAGCATTTTTTGGATATTGTGTTCTGAGCACATGTAACATAGGCTAAGCTAAGCTATATTTGGTAGTTTAGGTGTATTAAATGCTTTTTCAACTTATGATGGGTTTATCGGGATGTAACCTCATCATAAATTGAGGAAAATCTATAATACAAATATTTTTTAATCTGAATGTTTGTATTGATTATGCTTTTTGATAGGACAGTACTTTAGATTTGTATTAGGATTTAGGATTAAATATACACCTAAAGTATAAATTTGAACAATAACTTTAGCTGATGACAAATATACCCAGATGTCCTTAATAAAATTTAACTCTCAGTGTATTTTTAGTTAGATTCTTGTTCACTTTTTAATTCTAATGTTAAGGTTTGAAGGCAGTACAATAAATAACAACCATCTTTTTAACAATAGTTTTGAAGTAACTGAAAACACAAAAGAATAAGACAGAAAATCAGAATATTTTTATTATTTATAAAGCTATGAAGAATGTGGCTTTTACCTGCATAAAAGTGCTTCCTAATACTGAACCCCAAACAGATAATGCTGGGCTATGTATGGTGTTTCTCCCTATGGAGAAGCAGCTGGTTTACTTCTTTAAAATGCAGAGCAGAATATATACATTGCTAAGCTGGTTTTTCCTTCCAGAATTAGTTCACTTCTCCCCTGGAGAAAATGAGTAGGAGGTGAAAAGATGCCAGGAATGGATTACTGATTGGTGGTGGATGTCCCTTGTGCATGGAAGGAAACATAAGGAATAGGGAATATTTATTTCTCTCCAAATAGCCTTTACCTTTCCATCTCTTTTTTTATTGGGCTTAACCATTGAGGTAATGGTAAAACCAGGCTAATGGCCATTACTTCAAAGGATATTTGACCTTCCTGGAGCTTTGCCCCCAACACTCAGTACTCTTTCTTTGAGAATTTTCCTGGGTTATGCCCCTTGGTGTAGGTAGTTTAAACTTTGCCCCTTAAGAGAAGCCTCTTAAATGGGTCAGGCTAGTATGTTAATTAAAATTAAATCCAATTGCATAGCCAACAAAGGACTAGTATCTATAATATATAGAGAGAACTCTCAATTCAGCAGTAAACAAAACAAGCCACTTAGAAAATAGGCAAAAGAAACAGACATTTCATTAAAGAGGATATACAGAAGGCAAATAAGCACATGAAAAGATAACATTATTAGCCATTAGAGAAATGCAAATTAAAGCCCCAATGAAATAATCTCTGTATACCTTTCAGCATGGTTACAATATAGTAACAGCACAAAATTCTGGGGAGGGTATGGAGAAACTATATCACTCATGTATTGGTGGGAACGTAAAAATGGCGCAGGCACTCTGGAACATAGTTTTGTACTTTCTTATAAACCTAAACATGCTATTACGAGTGATTGCACTCTTGGGGATTTATTCCAAAGGAATGAAAACTTACGTTTACACAAAAACCTGTGTACTGATGTATAGCAGCTTTATTTGTAATAGCCAAAACCTAGGAACAAGCCAGATGTTCTTCAGTGGGTGCATAGTTAAACTGTGGTATGTCCACACTGTGGAATATTACTATACTGTAATAAAAAGGAACAACCTGTTGATACAACCATTTGAACAATCTTGAGGGAATTATGCTGAGTGAGAAATCAATTATCAAAGGTTACATACTAAAATTATTCCACTTACAGACTATTCTTGAAATGAAAAAAGTATAGAGATGGAGAAATATATGACATTTCTGTGATTGCTAGATGTTGAGCGGAAAAAGAGCTGAGGAGGAGGAGAGAAAGAGGGGTATGATAATTAAAAGGGCACCACAAGGAATTTTTGTGGTGACAGAAATGTTCTGCAGCTTGACTGGGGTGATAGATGCCTAAACCTACAATATGATAAACTTGGATAGAACTAAACACACACATGAATAGAAGTAAAACTGGGGAATTCAGAATATTGGTGGGTTGCTATCAATGTCAACATTCAGGTTGTGATATTGTGTGCTATAATTTTGCAAGATAATAAATAACCATTGGGGGAAACTGGATAAAGGATATCTGTATTAATTTCTTAAAATTGTATGTGAATCTACAATTACCTCAATAGTCTGAAAAAACAACAAATTAATAAGAACAAACAAAAATTAAATCAAGGCCATTTTTTTCATAAGATTTAAATTCACTTTTCATTCAGAAGTATGACCAGCTGCAATAGAGATTTTGCTATTAAGTAAAATGACGTTAATATATTGTACTAGTGAAATAACCTTAGAGCTGTCCCACATTTGAATATTAATTCCCAACTGTGAAATCTTACAGGTAAAAAGCATAGTTCAAAGATGAAATACCTTTCCTATTTAAAAATTTGAAAACTAAGGAATTAAAGTAAAAAACAAAATTCTCTTGTCCTTGTGAGTTCAGGTTTCATGAAATTACAATTCACAATTAATGTTGATTTCTAACCCTTAGAGCAGTTACCTCAGGAATAACCTTGTTCCTGGAACCTAATACTTGATTTGCCCGAGGCCGTAACAAGAAATGGTAGCATCAAGTTCAAGCAGTCAGTCTTCTTTTCCATTGGCCCCAGTCATTTAATGCCAAAAATCCAGAGTGCATCATCTATGAATTTAAGCTGAGAAATCTTTATCACATGCCTCGACATGAAAAGAAAACATCAGGAGTGGCATTCCCTCTCTTGACATCTAACATCCCTTTGGGTGAGAAATCAGTTGTGAAAATTCTAGATTAGCATGTGTGGCTTTTAATTCTTTCTCAGTAGGCAAGAAGAATGGAGAACTGCAAAGGGAGAAGAAGAAATAAAGACTTACAGGTCAGAAGAGAAAAGAAAACACTTCACTGCTCCAAAAGAGAATAAAATACCCCCTGTCTCAAAGGTAAATAGTAATTACTTTACTATTTGCTTCTTACATATAGTGCCCATACTCAGACCCTTTTGTAATTAAAAATGTTAATATTGTAAATAAGATATTGATTACTGAAGTAAAATTAATATCATTAATTCTTGATTATCTTTGTATTATCTATTATGTTTACCATTTAAAATTTTTCTTTTTTTTTGTTTTAAAAAAGCCAAGTTTATTTGTTCATTTCTTTCATTTGAAGTACTCCTTGATGACATCCTTGGCCTGAGACTCTGCTATAATCCTTAACCACCAACAACTATAACCAACCAACCACTTCACCAGGCTTTCCCTCTCTGTCAATTTTACAGAGGCTGACCCATTCCCCAAGTTTCTTGTTGTCATCAACCTTAATTAGGCTGATTTGGTGTGCAGCACAGAGGGCCTCCACCCCCTTGACATACATAGGTTCATTGTAGTTGGTTGCAAGCACACACAAATGGGCTTGGCGCTTGTCTAAGGCTTTGGCAGCTTCGTGCATTCCTCATGCTAGGCCATCGTGGATGAGGGAGGTCTTCAGCACCTCTGTAAAGCAGTATTAACATCCATTACACCTCCAGCAGCAATGCCGTCCTTGGCCATGGCGGTGGGTTACAGGTGGAGTCGAATCTTGAATGCACCCAAGTTGCTGCCTCCGTGCTACTCTGTTGCGGCAGGGAAAGAAGTTGGGCAAGTTATTTAACCTCTGAGCTCTGGGATGATAATGGAATCTACTTCAAAGAGTTGTGATGAAGATGGAGGAGATAATACAGGTAAAATCTCTAGCATTATAGTAAGTGACGGGTTAAATGGTGGATATTAGTAGCAGTACTAATGGTTAAAATTATGGTCTGTAATTCAATGAGAAGTGAAAGGCAGATGAATGGCAACCAAATAGAATTGAATCACATAGATTTAATCTGCAGACTGTAGATCTTCTCACCACCACCGATTCCTTATTATTTGCTCCATATATTCTTAGTGTTATTCATTTGATCATCCATCCATCCATTTATTCATTCAATAAGTATTTATTGAGCACATCTTATGTTAGGCATTAGACATACAATATTAGAAATAAATGACAATCTCTATTTTCTGGGTGTTGACAACTTCCCCCAATGAGAAAGAGACACATAGCTAGTTGGCAAGAAAATATAGCATGGGAGTTACACATATGGGCATTGGACCCAGACAATCTAGGAGTGACTTCCATCTCTATCACTTACTAGCTCTGTGACCCTGAATGAGTTATTTAACCCCTTTGGTCACATCATCTATAAAATGGGTTGACAACAGTCCTCCCTCCCCCCCCCCAGCCAGATCCCCATCATAAGGTTCTTTAGAGGATTAAATGAGTCAATGCACGGGTAAAATACTTTGCCCAGTGCCTGGCACATGGTATACACTAGATGTCAGTGACTTTTATTTCCAGGCAATTATGCCACTGTGTGGTAGACGTTATATAAGGGGGATTCTGAGAGAAGGGAGAACGCACCAGATGAAAAGATACTTGTCTATCTAGCAAACTGCATATTTAAGTAATAATGGGTCCCTCTTTGTATTATTAATCAACAGCAAATATAGAACTGGAATAAGAACTTCTAATCAGCATGAGATAAGCAATGTGATATCATTTCTGTCCAAAGCAAAGAAACTTGCTTGACATTTTAGCCTTGGGACCTTATCTAGTGTAAATGGGACAGTTCCGTTAGGCTTTGGGAATATTGGAAATTTCTGCCCTAGATCTCTGGGAATACTTTCACAGTCTGAGTTCTAAGGTGCATAGGTCCTTCTTCCCCAGGATGGAAACTACTGATCTAGGAAAAAAAGAGGGAAAGGAGGGAGCAGACATTTATAGAGCAATTACTGTGTGTTAGGTGCCAGGTACTTTATCGCTTTAGTCCTCCTGATGTGCCATTAGACTGGTCTATTATCCCCATTTTAGAGATAAGTAAACAAGGGCTCAAAGAAGTTAAATAATATGTTCTGAGTCAACAGCTAATCTGTGTCAGAATTTCCAGGTCTTCCGATTCTAAGCCTGGAGCCCTTCCCTGGACATCAACCTGCATCTTGTGAGAGTATGAGAAAGAAGTCATCCTTTAGTTTGGGGTACTCTCCTATAAAATTCTCACTTGGGAGAGGAATGGGGCAAGGATGGATTGGAGCCCAGGTCCCAGGAGGGGAAGGTAGCTGCTCGTGGCCAAATGGACGAGGGGATAACTGTAGAGAGAGGGACCAGGCTGGGGTATTACGGTTGAGGACATAATGGTGTCTGTCCCTGATGGGGGCTTTCTGGGAACCCTCATCGAGGAAGCCAGCACCCAGGTTGGTACTTTCCAAGTCTCCATGTGCCTGGAAGCAGACCGGTGATCCTTCCCGATAACCTGCCCTGAAGCTGTCCTTATTGAAAACCAGAGAAGTATGGTACCCTGACCCTACCCCATGGTCCCTTCCTGCCCTTGAGAATTTGGGTCCCCGAAAGGACCCAACACTACTGAGTACTATCAGCTGAACCCCAAGTTGGGACACCTGGTCTGATAGCCATGTCTATACTTACAGAAACCACAGGATAGAATTTTGAAATGGAACTTATCCAGGAAAATTTAGTTTATCTACTCTGCCTATTGTCCAACTTTTGGGTTGCTGTGAGGAGTTACACGAAATAATACTATACACAGGAAAGCATGTAATAAATTTTAAAGTGCAGCAAACTTATTACTGTCATTACAGAATACTAAATTAAAAAGGACTATAAAGATAGTCTAGTCCAGGGGTCGGCAAACTTTTGAGACGGAAGAGCCGCCAGGGGTAAGCAAACTGTGGCTCGTGAGCCACACATGCGGCTCTTTGGGTATGTACATGGGGCTCTGAAGTAAAATTGAAAATGAAAATAAAACTATCATAGTTCCATTTATAAAATTTTTAAAGGATATTATTCACATAATGGTGATTATGTAAAAATATATTTATGGCTCTCGAATAAATTTTAAATTGTTGTGAGGGACAGGATAGGCTCTTCCAGGGGTCGGCAAACTTTTGAGATGGAACGTACCCAAAGAGCCGCATGTGGCTTGTGAGCCGCAGTTTGCTGACCCCTGGTCTAATCTAATCCCCCAACTGTAGCAGGAATCCCTTCTACAGCACCTCTGACCAATTGCCAGCCAGCTCTACTTGCACACTTGCAGTGACAGGGAGCTCACTCCCCGAAAGGAAGCCACTTCCTTCTCTGGTTAGCTCTGAGAAAAAGTTCTTTAGATTGAGTTGAAGCCTGTCTTGCTGCAATCTCTGGGCATACAGCACATTTGTGCCCACTGTCCTCCAGGATTTTGGGACAGTCTTGACAGCCCAAGGCATCTTTTTCCCCCAGACTAACTTTCTCTGATATCTCCATGTACTTTGCACGGAATAAGTTTCATTCCTTGGGACTCCACCCACTGCAGCTGGTCGGCGTCTCCTTGCAAATAATGGTGCCTAGAACAAACACAACACTGCTGATGTGTCCTGATCAGGGCAAAGTGCGGGAGGTATCACCTCCTACAATCTACACTCTGCAGCTCTATTAATGAAGCACAAAACGAGTGCTTTCCAGCAGTTGCAGTGAATTTGCTCATTTTAAGCTTTAATCAGCAAGCACTCCCAAATCTTTATCACCTAAACTACATCCAAGTTTGTGCTTCGCTTCCCAGATTTATAATTAGTTTAAATGGACCCACGTAAAGAAAGATCACATTGACAGCACCATGGAAGGTAGGCTTTTATGTGCCCTCCTTAATCACATGCCCCTCTTTCCCTGGTCCAGGGACCACTGTCATGACTCCTTGATACTGGTTCTCTCCCTACTTTACAGTTTACCAACTATGTGTGCATAATGTTTAGTTTTGCCAGTTTTGGTACTTTATATATAAATGGAATCATGCTGTATTTCATAATTTGCTTCTGTCTTTCAAAATTGTAAGATTCATCTATGTTGACTATGTGTCTTTCATTTGTTCATTTTCATTGCTGTAGAGTATTCCATTGTATGAATATTTTAAAATTTATTTGTTCTACTGTTAATGGACATTTGGGTTACTTATGTATTTGTTGTATTATGCCACTATGAATAATTTTGTGAACATGTGCAGTGTAATTGATAAGTAATTGTTTCAAGTGTTTAAATCTTATCTCCCAATTTCCTTTAGAACATAAAAATCATCTCTTTTACCCTTAATAAAGGCTTTAAGCACACACTAGTTTTCTTTAAATATATATATGTTGGGGTGGAATTGCTCGGTTTAGGGTTTATTTAAAAATATGAAAATATACATAACTCTTACATCTCCTATCTGATTTGAAAAATTGTTTTTCAACCACCTCCTTGGCATGGGGAGCTCCAGGTGTCCAAACCAGCAGCCTGACCATTTTGATTAATGATCTTGAGGGGCTGGCTGCAAGCCCCAGATTATCAATGGCAATGAATGTGTCTTTCACTCATTGGAAGGTGCCCCTTCTGCAGACAGCATCCACATCTGCTATCTTTATGGCCACTGCCTCGCATTAGTCATCACAAGACAGAGGATGCACTAGGCGGCCTTATCCTGGACAAAGGTCTCCCAGCCAAGCCCACATCTGCTCACCCAGGAAAGTCATTTATGGAAAGGTGAGGGTTGGGGGGAATGACTCTGTTTGCCTTCCCAAAGGCACACCAGCCATCCAAGGATATTAACTGCTTAGAAATTTTCGTCTGTATATAGGCCCACCCGTGATGTTAGCAAGATTTAAGTCAAAAGTAGATGCCACACGTCTACCTAATTATTTAAAATTATAAATCACTCCAACTAACTCGTAACCTTAGTATATTCTATTCTGCTTGGACAAATATACATCTTCAATGACGCAGAAGACCTGGTTCACATTTAGAATTCCTGGACTCCTCAGGTTTATGAACTTGAATGAGGTGGTGATGGCAATGCAGGCCCTGGCCCCACTGTTGGCTTGCAGCCCACCTGCCT